TATGAACTCACCAACTTAAATGTTGATATACTCTTTCAAAACTACTTGTATTTCTCAAGAATTCAGTAAAACAGGTAAACAAGCAGCTTTTGAAGAAGGGATGTTGTGGCGTTAGTTTAGTTTCATTTTGACATCATATTGTAATTTGTTTTTGAAACAAGTACCTATTAACAATGTAAACTTTTAAATTATATATATGATGGTTGTATTACTTTCTTTACTATGTATTCATTTGTTGCGATACTACATGTATTCATTTGTTGCGATACTACATGAAGTCATTTGAAGATAGGCCTTGGTGCCGTAGACCTTACTGATATAGTGAGGATAACTCACCTTGCAGATGTCGACTCGGTAGATGAACTCCAACTCTCGGATCATTGACAAAAACTCCACCACCTATTACCATATTATAATTATACCCATAAGTTCCCAACCTTTCAAGGTACTCCAAAAGCCACAAATCAAACCCTAGTCAAAATCAAGGTCATCAGTCAAGGTCAACATTCCATTTTGACCCTAACTCGTCGAGTACCCTCGGCTACACGCCGAGTTCCTTGAAGTACTTTCCCACTCGTCGAGTTCCTTTGGTTTACGATTGAACGCTAAGGCCACTTGTCGAGTTTCCTTCTTGCAACTTGACGGTTACACATGTATACATAAATTGGGGAAAACTCATCCGACTCGCCTAGTGGTTCATACCACTCGTCGAGTTCCTTGGTAATCTTCATCGGACTCACCGAGTTATTCATCCAACTCATCGAGTCCAGGCCTATCTTCAAATGACTCGCCGAGTTGACCTTGCGACTCGTCGAGTTCCTTAAGTCCATAAGCCATATAGACTCTTTTTAAGCCATGCTGTGGCTCCAAATTACAGATGCAAGCTTCTAAGGCATGCATTTCATGTAAAGTTGCAAACTTTACGTACATGCATGGCTACAAAGGCTCTAAATGATAAATCTAAGCCTACAATGGGGTTTCATACTCAAGGAAGGTTTCATACATGGCCAAGTCCATAGCTTTCTAACTCTAGAACCCAAGAAAGGTCCAGAGCTAAAGTTACAACTTCAGATCTAGCTCATACCCCACATTATCATCTCAAATATGCCATAAAAGCCCTAAATCTCAACCAAATGAAGTCCAAGAGGAAAATGAAGTAAAGGTGGCAACTTGATACCTTCAAATGATGCCAATTGAGGTAGATTTCTGATTCCCACACCTTCCTTGTTCCTATACTATTGTCCTCCAAGATCTTCCTTCCTAATAACTCCTTTCTAAACCTTAAGACACACAAGGATGAACACCACACGAATTAGGGTTTCTCAATGGACAACAAAGAGGCTAAATGGGGATTATGCTTCTTTAAATAGGGTGAAAACCCCGAGATTTAGGATTTCATTTGCTAGCTCCTAGAATATTCTACAAAAAATCTCACCCTAATTATTTTACGGAAAATATAAAGTGTAATGTAAAAGTACTAGAATATTCTACAAAAATCTCACTCTAATTATTTTACGAAAAATGTGAAATTCTATGCTAATCAATTAAAACACACACTGTTTCTTTATAAGTCGTTAGTGATGCGCGCATGGTTAACTGAAACACTAATGTGTGACTACAAAGATGAAATGATGGCACAAACTTGAAATATATGGTTGTTGATGAAACATGTGTGGTTAACCAACACGTCAATGTGAGATCATAAATGACATTGAGGTTGCCACACGGGTTTGCATGATTATTCATATTTTGTTTGTGATTCTCGGCATCCCAATGACAATTCGTAGAGAATAATATGAGATTAAACATGACTTTGAATAGTTCAATGAATCTTGAAAGATTTAGGAATTTACAGAGATCGGAATTGATAAAGTGCTTTACCTACCTAAAATAAATTTACAATTTGATTATGACACACCTTTTCTCATTTCGAATTGTATTTTTTGTATCCTAGCCTTAGATATTAAATTGTGCTAAAATATTAAGGATTGAATCAAATAACTAAAATCTTTATCATTTAATTTAGATGTTTTGAAATTGTGATCTTCTTCCTGCTTCTCCACCCACTCATAGTTTCACTTTATTGTCAATCCTCTAAATAGATAAGCTTACTGGTGCAAACTACATGGATTGGGTGCATAATATGAAGATGACACTTTGTTATGAGAACAAAGAGTATGTTCTCGAGAATTTTTTTCCTAAAATCGTTGAAGTAACTGCTACTCCTGAGTAAATTACTTAACATAAACAACATGTTAATGGCGCTACTAAGGTCACTTGTATTATGATTGCAACCATGGCACCCGATCTGCAAAAGTACTATAAGGAATACTAGCCCTATGAATGAACTTGGATCTTACTCAAATGTTCCATAAGAAATAAAGGAAAGATCTTTATGAAGTCATCAATGCCCTAATGGAGTGAAAACTGAAAGAAGGAGAATTTATTTGTGTTCATGTGCGGAAATGTAGACATGTAGACATATTAGAGAGGCTCAATGTGAATTTCGACAAGGAGTTTGCCATTGATATGGTTCGCAAGTCCTTTCCAAGTAGTTATGATCAAATTATATTAACTTATCATTTGAACAATATTGAAACCTTATGGGAAAAGCGAAAGCGTGATTGTATACACTCATCAACAACTTTCACATTATTGGATTTCACCGTATGTATTAGACTCTGATTTTATGATTTCACCTTTTGGAGCAAATATTTTATTGGTTTTGTTTTATGAAATGGTATTTTATATTAATTAAAAATTGAAAATTTTATTGTAAAAAATGGGATATTACACTTACTTCGCGTTTAAGGTTGTTGGGGAACAAAGTTATCATCTGAAGTTACCAATAAATGGGGTTAATTTTATTTAAATGTCAATTATGTCATTTAGTAACTTCTTAACCTTAAAGAAAATAAGTTTGGCCAAGCAACATTGGTTGAATTGATTCGGGTGGGTTGAATTGAAAGCTCTAATAGTGAAAATAATGATTTCAAGGTCCTACTACCTCTATAACAAGTCCGAACCGTCCCATCATTAATCCTTTCAATCCAGTGACTTGATTTTTCTAAATACCATTCAAATAATTTTTTAAATAAATCAAATGTCATTAAATTCCATCATAAAATATTGATCCAAAAGGTCAATATGAATATCAAAGGCTTATTGTCCATCATTCTCAAAATGTGTTTAGAAACACTGTATTTATTTTTTATTAACCAAAGTACTTATTTCATAAGATGATTTGAAGTTATTTTAGATGTAATATGTTATTTATCCACATGATTTAATCCCATTTCATTTACAAAAATTAGATTTAATGTGTTAAATGAACATATCATCTTCATACAAGCTTAAAATCACAATGATGACCAACATGAAGTCATTAACTTACATGTTTGCATAAAAAATAATAAGTTGACGTTGGAAACACCTTCTAATACTATATTGAGATTTATTTAAGGATCTAAAGCTTCAAAACAAAATTCCATCAATTAGGGTGTATAAATCACCAAAATCAGCATTGAAGGTGAAATCAAAAATATAAAGGTAAATTAATGACAAATTGATGAATCACCTTTATTTTCTCCCGAAATCTCCCAAAATAGTTTTGATTCAAATGGAGAAGATAAGGGTCTTATTCTAAAACTTTGGTATTTTAACACAGTTAAACCCTCATCTCCCACATATTCTATATTGACGACTACATACATATAACAACTAGTGAATCAACTAATTTACTAAATTAACTCTAACTAATAACTTTTCTAACAAGAAAAGGTCTATACGGTGTTAATTAAGTTAACTCATGGTCAAGTACGTGGTTTCCTTAAATTATCTAAAAAGACACCCCATATTACAATATGGATATCCTAATTAATTTTTTAAATGTTTTTATTGGATGAAATTGTATTGTTTTCTGGAAAAACTGATTATAAGCAGTTAATTATTGATTAACTTTTTAAAAAGTGGTCAATGGGGTGTCCAAGGGGTGTCTTATTAGCAACATCCTTTTCTAATAGTTGACTTAAAAAACTTATTTATATATATATATATATATATATATATATATATATATATATATATATTTATAATTATTTAATTTTAAACATTATTAATATTTTCATCTATTTATTCTTTAATTAATTAATTTGATATTTAATTAATTAACTTAATGTTTCATAGAAATTATCCTAATATACAAATGTTACAACTACCTTCTCGTGAAGATGATTATGTCCCTATAATTATGAGTTTCTAATGGCAATAAGGCCTTTTGGTATGGTCATCATGAGGGCTTCCGTGATCTATGTGGCCACTAACCACAAATGTGAACACCATCCCATAGTGTTAGTGGTGGCTAGTGGTGGAACACTTTCTTGGTCATATGTGTTGAGGGCTTCATTCTCTCTCTCTATTCCTCTTTATCTCTCTCTACCTTTTTTCATTTCTCTTTACAATTTAATTAATTAAAAAAAATATTTTTTATTTTAATAATCAAAAAATAAGAAAGGTATAGTGGTAAGTATCCCAACCTTTTAGTGGTAGCTAGTGGTGATGATGTGGCACCCACCACTATAGTGGTTAGTGGTGGGTAGAACGGATAGCCTAAGGAAATCAATGAACTCCTCGAAGAGTTAACCATCTTGAAATTTATAATTAGACAATGTTTTATTAATTGTGAAAAATCATTATGTCATTTACATTTTTAGAATTCTACTTCATGTGTAAGTATATTAATAAGGAAATCAAGAATCATACAACACATTTGACGAACTAAATAAGAGTAATACGCTCACAAAATCCATAGATTTTTTTTGGAACCCGCAAATATATATTATAAAAAAGCCCAACTAGCAAGGTGTTAGAGGGGAAAAACGATAGAAGTTTACATGATGAAGAACAAGAAACAAATTACAAAGAAGCGGGAAAAAAGAACATCTCAACACACACCAAAAATGCAATCTCCAGGTTTTAAGAATTCTTGCCGGATTCCTCCCTCAACAGAAGGGATAGATGTTCCAATCGACCCATTTAATGGGGTAATTTGAACTTCTATGTTTAAGCAAAATGAACACCATGCCCTGTATATTGTCAGCTGTCTTAGTGGGCGGAATCTTGATTTCTTTGAAAAATATTTCGCACCTTGCTTTCCATAACCACCAAATTGTGCCATAGCATATACTCACGAGTATTTTCCTTTTCTTTGGGCAGTGTCCCCACGATCTAGTAAATTTTAGGATATCCTCCAACGATTCGCAATGGGGGAGCTTGATCTTACACCACCTTATAATACACTCCCAAACTGTTTTTGCATATGGACATTTAAAGAATATGTGAGACACCGTTTCTTCAATATTAGAACATTGACCACAGTTAACATCTACCAGTTTTACACCTCTTTTTGATAGGCCAATTGTAATGGGGATTCTCTCCATAGCGGCACTCCAGACGAAACATATCACCTTGATAGGAATTTCAGGGATCCAATCTATAAGTACAGTGTTGCATAAATTTGGATTGGTGTCCATATTTTGTCTAATAACGCCAACATGAAAGTTGTCGTCCGGGGAAGATGTACATATCCACTTTTCGGGCCTATTGTTCGTTTGAAAATGACCTATCCAGGATTTGATAGTTGTTAATGTTGGGTTTTAGCCATAAGAACTTTCCTATGTGCGCATGCAAAACCCTAATGCTTGGATCTAGGCTTTCTAATAAACATGCTTGTGAATCCAAGACTTCTAATGGCTAATTAGGTTAAACAACAACATTAAAACAGATCTAGAATCATACCTTTGAGTTCCTTGTTGATCTTCTTGTCTTGGAGCTTCTAGAGTCACAATTGTCACTCCTCTAATGGTTTACAAACACCAATAGCAAGCAAGATGATTTAGGAGAGAGGAGAGGGGATGGAATTCGACCAGAGGTTCCTTGCTTTAGGTTCTGAAAGGTTGTACACGAATTCCACATCCCAAGGGCCTATTTATACCTTTAGACTCCTTAAGGGTGTCACCCTAAACCCTAATTGGATAATCTTCACTTAAGGCTATCCAAATCCATTCCATAGATATCCTTATGGACTATTTTAGCTATCCTAAAGCTCTTAGAAACCGTCCAAAGTCCATCCTAATGGATTTATAGTCCAAAGTCTAACTATCAAACAATTGACAGTTTATACCCTCTTATTTAATTAATCTCTTTAAGTCACCAAATTAATACCAATTAATTTATGACTTATATTAATCAAATAGCTAAATATTATTCCTTATAATATTTACTCTCTCTCTCTTAATAAATCACCCTTCAAGTTGCTATGGTGAAGGCAACCCAAAAGGACCATGCACCACCGAATATAGTTATAGCCTTAGACACTATTCCAACAGTCTCCCACTTGGATAAGTCTAGTAACTATACAAGTACAATACGGTTTGCAATCGTAGCTCTCAAAGACGCTGTCAACTCTGATCTAATCAATCTTGTCCTTTAGATAAGGGATCGTACAGTCCTCTGTTAGATATCATGCTGACAATCCTATGGAATGGTTAGTCTAGCATTTAGATTTCTCGATCTTCGATTTATTTGACATAGAACTTAATCGAACACATCAATTCAGTTCTGACCGGGCCCGGCACATAAGTCAAATCAAATCATCGAGTGGCCAAGATATCTCTTCTACCCTCTTAGGATAAAATTTACAGATAAACTTCGACTTATATGCATTACTTATTCATTAACCAACTATACACAACAATGCGTTTTATAACATCAAGTTACTGATGCGTTTTCGCATTATCAATGCACAATCAATTAACAAATAATAAACCATATATCTAGGTTTTAAGACCATATGATATTATCGTCTTGCGATCACCTTTTATATCGTATTCCATAAGGTGATTCCAGCAAGCGCGGGTTTATTCCAATGCTCAAAACCAGTTCATAAGCACTCATGAACGTTGCAGCAACCTTGCTATGTCTAACACCATTTAGACACTCTACACACCAATTCACGACAATCTTCATTCATATCTACTCCCAACATATGAACGATTGTGGACCATTTGAATAATTCGATTATTCCTAATAAACTCAATTATTCTGGAAGTCAAAACATGCAAAGTGAAACAATAGTTAAACAACTAACATGTGATAGTAACTTTACTCATAAATAAAACTTCTTTATTTAATCATCAAATGTTAATTACATTTATCTATTATACGTTTCTAATACTATCTAATCTATGCTAATATCATCCTTCAGCCCAATACTCCTAGCATGCTGTAAGTGCTTAACCCTACTCAGTCCCTTCGTAAGCGGATCTGCTGGGTTATCTTCTGATGATATCCTCTTCACTACGAGTTGTCCTTCTTCTACACGATGTCTAATGAAGTGATATTTTCTGTCGATATGTCGAGATCTACCATGATCCCTCGGTTCCTTGGTCAAGGCAACCGCACCTTCGTTATCACAGAAAATCTCCATGGGCTCCTTTATGGCCGGTACAACTCCAAGATCACCGATGAAGTTCTTCAGCCATATTGCCTCCTTCGACGCTTCGCTTGCTGCGATGTACTCTGATTCGCACGTTGAATCAGCTACGGTTTCTTGCTTGGAACTTTTCCATGTCACTGCTCCTCCATTTAGGGTAAAGACCCAGCCCGACTGCGAACGATAGTTGTCCCTGTCGGTTTGAAAGCTGGCGTCACTATACCCTCGCACCTTCAAGTCATCACTCCCTCCAAGGACTAAGAACCATTCTTTCGTTCTCCGAAGGTACTTAAGGATGTTCTTCACCGCAATCCAATGTGCTTTGCCAGGGTTCCCTTGATATCTGCTAACCATGCTCAAAGCGAAGGCTACATCAGGGCGAGTACAAGTCATAGCGTACATGATTGAGCCAACTGCGGAAGCGTATGGTACTCGGCTCATTTCTGCTATCTCGGCTTCGGTACTCGGACTTTGAGTCTTACTCAACTTGGCATTTCCTTGTATCGGTAGTTCTCCCTTCTTTGAGTTTTCCATACTAAAACGTTTTAGTACCTTCTCCAAGTAAGTATTCTGACTAAGTCCAATTAGTCTCTTACTTCTTTCTCTTACTATCCTTATTCCCAAAATGTAAGAAGCCTCTCCGAGGTCCTTCATAGCGAAGCACTTCCCGAGCCAGGACTTAACCTCCTGCAGAGTCGGGATGTCGTTTCCTATGAGTAATATGTCATCGACATATAGAACGAGGAAGCTTACTACACTCCCACTGGCTTTGACATATACACAAGATTCGTCTTCGCTTCGTACAAATCCAAACTCTTTGACTTTCTCATCGAAGCAAAGATTCCATCTGCGAGACGCTTGCTTAAGTCCATAAATGGACTTCTCAAGCTTACACACTCTATTCGGATGCTTCGGATCCACAAACCCCTCTGGCTGAGCCATGTAAACATCCTCAGCCAACTTTCCGTTAAGGAAAGCGGTCTTGACATCCATTTGCCAAATCTCATAATCATGAAATGCGGCAATTGCTAGCATCACTCTAATAGATTTAATCTTCGCAACTGGTGAGAAGGTCTCATCATAGTCAACTCCGGGAGTTTGAGTAAAGCCCTTCGCAACCAATCGCGCTTTGTATGTGTGTACGTTCCCATCCACGTCGGTCTTCTTCTTGAAGATCCACTTGCACCCTACGGTCTTACGTTCGGGCACGTAATCAACCAAATTCCAAACTTGGTTATCGTACATGGATTGGATCTCGCTATCCATCGCCTCTTTCCATTTCGCAGACTCCGGGCCTGCCATGGCTTCCTTATAGCTATTAGGTTCATCAAGATTTACTAGTGTACCATCACTAATATACGTGTCCCCTTCGGTAGTAATATGAAAACCATAAAACTGGGGTTGAACTCTAAATCTATCGGAACGTCTAAGAGGTAAGGATTCGTCAATCGGTTCAACCGGAGTTTCCTCCTCGGGTTGAACGCCAGCGGTAGAGGTTCCTTCATCTATCGATTCTTGAATCTCTTCAAGTTCGATTTGCCTCCCACTGTCTCCTTGGCTTATGAGTTCTCGCTCTCGGAAAACTCCTCTCCTCGCAACAAAGATAACATTATCTTTCGGTCTATAGAAGAGATATCCAAAGGAAGTTTGCGGGTAGCCGATGAAAATACATCGCTCACTTCGAGGTTCAAGCTTGTCGTGAGTATCTCGTCTTACGAAAGCCTCGCAACCCCAAACCTTGATATGTGCCAACGAGGGAGCTTTCCCCGTCCACATCTCGTGAGGTGTTTTGGCAACCTTCTTGGTAGGGACTCGGTTAAGGATATGGGCGGCAGTCTCTAAGGCATACCCCCAAAAGAAGATAGGTAGTGAAGCACGACTCATCATAGAGCGAACCATATCCAATAAGGTTCGATTACGCCTTTCTGCCACACCATTCAATTGCGGTGTCCTAGGAGGCGTCAATTGCGAAACTATTCCACACTCCTTGAGATAATCGTGGAATTCAAGACTTAGGTACTCTCCTCCTCGATCGGATCGAAGCATCTTGATTTTCCTGCCCAATTGATTCTCCACTTCATTCTTGAACTCTTTGAACTTTTCAAAGGTTTCTGACTTTTGCTTGATTAAATAGATATACCCATATCTACTATAATCATCGGTAAAGGTCACATAGAAGCGGTTCCCATCCTTCGTGGTTGATCTAAAAGGTCCACATACATCGGTATGTATTAGGTCTAATAGTCCCTCACCCCTTTCACAAGTACTCGTGAAGGGTGACTTAGTCATCTTTCCAAGTAAACAAGATTCGCATGTGTCATCTTCCCTAAGGTCGAATGACTCCAACACTCCATCCTTTTGGAGTTGGGCTATGCGTTTCTTGTTGACATGTCCAAGACGACAATGCCACAAGGATGCTTTATCCATACTAGTGGAAGAATCAATATTCAAAACATCATTTCCTAAGTTATCAACAATCATAACAGTTTCATATATTCCATTACATGGTATAGCTTCAAAATAAAAGACACCATTTAGATAAGCCAAAATAGAACCATTCTCATTATTAAAAGAAAATCTAAAACCTTGTCTATATAAACCATGAAATGAAATGATGTTTCTAGCCATTTCTGGCGAATAGCAACAATTGTTCAAATCTAAAACTAAACTATTCTTAAGCACCAAAGAATACACTCCAATCTTGGTCACAGGCGACGATCTTCTGTTCCCCATGATTAGATTGATCCTTCCTTGCTCCACATCCCTACTTCTTTTAGTCCCTGCACATTAGAACAAATGTGATAACCACAACCGGTGTCAAGAACCCAAGAAATAGCATGATTAGAATCGTTAGATTTTATTGCATATATACCTGCGAAAGATGGCTTGATCTTTCCTTCCTTGATGGCTTGCAGGTAGTCCGGGCAGCTTCGCTTCCAATGTCCTATCTTGTGGCAGTGGTGGCACTCTGCCTCCTTCGGGTTAGAGCAGGGCTTAGAGGGATCAACTTTGGTCCCACTAGAAGAGGAACCATCTCGG